GCATCCGTCACTGTCGCGGTTCGACTTCCGCTGAGGGTCTTGATAAGGTGAATACATCTCATTACATTGATTTACTGGTAGTCTCGAAACGCTACTTACTTACGAATATAAGTAACGTTGTCGATTGCTATAGCAAACATATGTTTGCTTCATCGGCACTCCCACCAAAGAATATGATATAGCAGAGGCCTGACCGTCCTTGAAACTCATTTACGCCCTGTGACCCAAGGGCACTCGTGGCAATGTGGCCGAGTGGTTAACGTGTCAAGCTCACATGCTGAACTGTCACGGTCCGACTACCGCTGGGGGTGTTGATAAGACCTATGCGAGGTCGAAACTGCAGTCCACCCCGGATGAGAACAACTTTTGGGAAAGCAATGCTATGTGAAAGTTAATGGAAACGTCATCTCAACTCATATCGTTGTGGGAAAATTCTACTACCAGTCCTTCATCAACTTAGACGAAATAGGGTGAATACATCTCATTACATTGATTTACTGGTAGTCTCGAAACCCTACTTACTTACGAATAAAATGTATGCTATAAGAGTTATCAACCCTTACGCCACACTGTCATGAGTGTCCTTGGATCACAGGTCAGATGTGAATTGCACGGAAAACCGGGCATTTCCCCATATCACATTCTTTGATGGGATTTTCGATGAAGCAAAATTATATTTGCTATAGCATCCGACTACGTTACATATTTTTTGTTTTTAGTATGTTTCCAGACTACCAGTAAATAATATATATTAGCTGTGTTTACTCAATTTCGCTTAGTTAAATCTCATCACATAATGTTAAATGGGGAATTATTGGCCTGCTTTGAAATGCTCATCTGCCCTGTAACCCAAGGGCACTTGTGACAAAGTGACGTAGTGAATAACGTGTCAAGATTACACGATGCAATGTCATGCTCTGAGTCGCACTGGTGCTGTTGATAAGACTTAGGCGAGGTCGAAACTGAACTCTTCCTTGGATGAGAATAACTTTTGGGAAAGCAAGGCTGTGTGAAATTCGATGGAAACGTTACGTCTACTCATATAATTATGGAAAAATTTAACTACCAGTCCTTCATCACCTTAAGCAAAACAGGATTAACGCAGCTATTGTATTTCACTTAGCCTTGCTTCCAAAGTCTATTCCTATTCAGCTTGGACTGCAGTTTCGGCTTCGTCTGTCTCATCAGCACACCCAGAATCTTGGGCAATCAAGGTTAACTAAATCGCTTATTCATGATATACTAATAGTCTCAAAATCCTACAACATTTGAATACCAGTAACGTTGTCAACTATAATGACAAATACATGTTTACCTTAGCGTCAATCCCACTATAAAAATGAGGGGCATAGCCTGCTTTGAAATTCTTTTTTGTCATAAGGTCGATTGGCACTTGTAGCCTTCTGAAGTGATAGAACTACGTCGAAACGAAGCACTTCACCACCACAGACAGTGTACGATTCCAGTTTGGGGTGCTGATGGACCCAGATGAGGTCGAACCTGCTGTCCATTCCCGCATGGATAAGAATATTTTTTGGAAGAAAGGCCAAGGTAAATTCAATCTCCTCATGATGCCTAATCATTTGATTGTGGAAAAATACGCTATCTATTCTTCTTTAATAAAGTCGTTAAGGTGATGTAATGACCGATATTAGAGATTTATCAGTGATGACATGTGTAGACCTCACAATGCCATTTGCTTTCACTTAAGCTTTCCTCCCAAAAGGCTTTCTCCACCAGGCTGGACTGAATTGCAGTTTCGACTTCACCCAGTTCTCATCACCATCCTCAAGCTAAATAGAAATCAGGTTGTGCTCATCTTGGCAACTTACTTAAGTGCAGTTCGGCCTGGATTTAAAAAAATCTTGGAGGACAAAGCAAAATAAAGTTCCATGACATGGCATTGTACTAAGAATTACCCCGTCGGTTCATCCATCACCTTAAGCCACCTAAGCATTCTTCATATCTTGTAACTTAATCAGTCTAAAACAAAGGGTAACCTGAATATTGAGCTATCAGACATACCTAATTGATAAAATTGAAAATTTTTCTTTGAAACAGACGA